ACTCTCAGAAAGTAGTGGCTACTCTTGGGTGTACTTCCAAAAAATCTGAAATTTTGCGACAACAAAAGGTAACAAATGTTTGAGGTTCTTGCAAATTTTTATCCAAAAATGACATCGCTTCAGCTCTCACACAGAAAAAATCGCTGCTCAAAGTTTTGTGCACTATTTGAGCATCAATTTTGTTTTTTGGCGGGAGCTCCTGCAATAACCTCAAACATTTGATGGAGTTTGATGTCGCAAAATTCCAGATTTTTTGGACGTTGTTTGATTTTTTTTTTCAAAACTTTGGACAACTCAGGTGTAGTGAGTAGAAAATGCACTCTCTTTCTCTCTTACCTGTCTTGGAAGGCTGACTTAAATGAATTTACAGAAAAGAACAAATCACTGCAGGTACTAGCCCAACTAGTCAACTGAAGGAACTTGTAGGCAAAAGGTGTATATAATCGGAATAAATTATCTACAAAAGTTCACATAGCACTGAGGCATTGCGCTATCCCCAAAAGTCACAGTTCTGATTAAAAAGGCACAACCATTTCTTGATGTTTATGAGGCGTGACCATTCTGCCTATAGGAACAACCTGTCGATCTGGATGGAGCATCGGTCCAGCGATCTCTTCCACCTTCACATGAGCGATCTCCATGGCTGTTGGGCACTATGGTTGTGCAGGCGGCTGCGGTGGTGGCTCGGTGTGGTGGTGGCCGTCCATGACACGGTGCACGTCGGGAGGCACAGAGGATCGATGGTCTTGGCCGGGACTCGCAGCGGTGCGATGAGGCGGACTGGCGCGACGGCGTGTCTGGAGGCTGCGGCGCGTTCTACCGACCAGACTGGTGGCGGCGTTGTGATGACTCGGCTAGGATGGAGTTCCCGGCGAGCAGCAAGCATCGGGCTACCTCTGGGCTGTGTGGCGAGCGGCGGTGCTCTCCCGGTGGTGCTGGCGTGGGAGTTGTGCATGTCTAGATGCTGGGTCGTCGCAAGGCTGTCTCTTGGAGCGGGTGATAGCCTTCACGGGCTGTCCGGGCTCTTGCCGGAGGTGTTGGGTGGCTGCTATCTCTCGGCCAGGTGGAAGGTGTTTGTTTGACCATGCTTCTCTCTGTCGTGCGGTCTGTCGGTGCTCCTTGGCTTTTCAGCTACAACGGTGAGGTGTTGCGGTGGCGACGATGCGAGGCTACTTGGATGTTGCTGCCCAATTCATTCGAGGTGTAGAGATGTGCGATGATCGGATGGAAATCTTGCACAGATTTTGCCGGGACGGCGACGATGGCACCCGTGGGTGCCATTCCCCTCCTTGGAGGTGTGTCGAGGTGTGATCGACATCTCCCTCGCTAGTGTGGAGTTGGTTGTTGTCTTCGGGCGAAAGCCTCTATTCGGTGTAGGATCGACACTATGACGACGTCCTCGACGTCGCTCCTCTGTTGAGAGCATCGTAATTGGAGACACAGGTTGGTTCCTCGTTGCTTTCCTACGGTGTTCATCGTGGTCCTGGTTTGATCCTCGGCGGCGCTATGTACGGCCGTCGCCATATGTCCAAGGCAGTGTCTTCCTTGGAGCGGATCAAGTCCTGTCATTCACTTGCGATCTCCTCTTAGGCATTCAGGGTGGATGGTTCGTTGACAAATGAAATTCAGTGGGAGCTAGTGGTCTTCGGAGGTGCCTGGCGTTGGTCGAGATGCGGTGTTGATCTCGGTTAGGGCATGCGTTTTTGCTTTGTAGTTTTGTTTCGCCGATGATGTTTATATTTGGTCTTACCTGAGTGTGGGTTTTGTGCTATGCTTGTGGCAGTATTCTTGTACTTATAATTCTACTTTCTATAAAGTTATGGTAAGCCTAACGTACTCTTGAAAAGAAAAAAAACATAAGTGATCTCTTATACAGCTGCAATTTTCCAGTATCCCTTACTTTTTTTCGCGGGTAGTATCCCTTATTATTTGTTTGGTTTGCTCGAATATCTCATAGAACTCATCACTAATTACGAAATAGAAAATAAATTAGTCATCAGCAATTTCTCGAGAAAGAAGAACATGCTTGGCTCTTAGCAACACACTATTTGGAGTGGAGGCATATGTAAGTGATGGTGCATCCCAACATAAAACATCGTCTCATACACTTTTTGCTCAGTTGTTATGCGTAGATTGGGAGCGGACGTCTTGGACGCAGCGGCAGTTGAACGCAGCTATCCAACCGCACGTCCAGGCGAAATGATCTGCGCATTAAAGTCTTGAAATGCAAAAAGATGACATACATCGGTCCATACTTGTGAATACAGTGTCCACGCGGTTTGCAGGCGCATGCAGGTTGCAGAGCGGGTACAGAACTGACGCAAAGGACAGGCGTGCAGGCGCGTCTCCTTTTGACTTTGCGAGCCTTGCTTTGTTTTTACTACAGTGTGCCATGGCCTGATGGTCAACATTGGCGGCGGTGGGGCCTTGCCATGCACGCACGCAGAGGATGTGTCCTCGGGGGTGTACGATGGAAACGGTGGGTGTGACCGCGCAGGGGGACGTGGACGAAGTGTGCAGCGTGGGCGCTCATGCTTCAGTTTAGTTGCCTAGCTAAAATGAGGTAAAAACGTAGTACGCCATGCTAATTTGGTTATGTGTAGTGGGAAAACAGACGATGCAACTGATTAGTACTGTCCTGCGACGTGTGAGAGTAATCGATCCGAGTCATGGTAAAATCCAGTACCCGTGCAACAGTCGTACATCATCCTTGTTTCTGGACTGCTGCGATTCCTTGTGTCAGTCGCCTGTCAGTGCGTGGTCATTCTAATACATTAATTCGCAGCATATAGATCCCCAACGTTCCTCAATACTGTACTTCAAGTAGCACGTTTGGCTGCGGAGGGGAACGTTGGTTCCTGGGTACATATGTATCCTATATGGAAATTTTTTTAGCAATTCAACAAAAAGTCAAAAAATTCTAAAAATATTTTTGAAATAAACTTTACCTTTCATTGTACCAGTGAGAAAAGTGGCATAAAAAGAAAATTTCCCTTTGACTTCTTTTCAAAAAAGACAAATTTTCGATCAAAATAGCATGAATAGTGACCTATAATAGGCATCTCTTCCTAGAGGGGACTCCCGCTTGTGATCTTCTTTCTTGGGTCGGAGAAAATAGAACTTACCAATTGGAAATGGAAATGCCGAATGAATTGAACCAAACTACGGAAACTGTGGTTGAGCTTGCCTGTCATCAACGAAGGATGGTTGTGAAGTTGGTGGAAGAAAGCAAACCAATGAATGCAGCTAGTCACCCCGAAAGGCGAGCCCATGTCTTTTGAGAAACTGACACAACCTGTTGTGTTGACTTATCTTATACTAAGGGTCCGTCCCAGCCAATAAGGAATTTCTCATAATTCTAGGATGAAACAGCATCATATCTCAGCTTGATTATGAGAGAGATTGAAGTGAAAGAACCCAGTTTCAGAGCGTGGAAACGGAAAAGAATGAGGTGAAAGGGCTGACCCATGCGGCCCACCAAATAAATTTTGTCTTTTTCGCTGTGAAGTCAACGTTGGTTTTTTGTGTGTGAAATTTGCTACACTAGTGCGCAAGTAAGTCAAGTTTAATCTAAAAATATTTTTGAACTATTTTGACTTTTTGTTTTATTATTTTTAGAAAAATCATCATATAGAGTGTATATACATGCGAGAGCCAAAGGGTATTTCCCGTTTGGCTGCTACGAATCGCAACGCACTGCACGCCGTAGATGCACTGCATGCAGCTGCCACTGCGTGCAGCGATGCACTTCTCTGCGTAGATTGCCCTTCTTGAAAACAGAAGTCTTGCGGTTTGCTTCATCGGTTCATCTTGGGTCTTTCTCAGCTATGGCAATGCCGATTTCAGGCGGATTTCTCAAGTGAGATGAGTGGATCATGGGCAATACATGAGGCACGATGACAAAGGTGAACGGCTGGTGTGGGGACTAAAAACTTACAGATCAAAACACTCTCTGTGATTCTCCAGCTTCCGTGTAGCATTTGCATCCTCAACGTAGAGTAAATTTGCTTATTTTATTTCTTACCAAATCTGGCTCTGGGCTGGTTGAGTTGGGCTCAACTTTTCAACCTCAGAAATATCTTTTGTTTGCTCTGGTAGTGCTGTCATCCTTTTGGACTTGTAAGACATATCTAAGCTCTGTTTTATCCTGAGTTACAAACTTTGTGCAATGTTAGCCATTTGCATTTACTAGTACTCCCACTGTAGAGAAATATAAGAGCATTTATATCACTATTTTAATGGTCTAAACACTCTTATATTTCTTTACGAAGGGCTTGATCAGTGCGAGTCTCAGTCGAACATTTATCCTGGCTTTTGATTGGTGCTGGTTCAGCGGTGCAGGTTGTTCAGCAGGTTCACTGAACTCTGCATCAGCAAAATGTTCATCTGAAACCCACACTCTGATTAGTTCCTGCGGCGTGCGGCCGGCCGGCGCAGTGCTCCGGGCGTGCCGCCGGCATCTACCACACGGTATGCCTCCGGAGGACGCGCACAGACGCACCACACCAGCGCCTGTGCAGACCGTGCTGGGATCGGTGATCCTCCTCAATGATGCCCATTAACTGCGCCAAGTAGAAACCGGATTCACCAAAGCCTCTACCGGGATCGAAACGGTTTCCCACCTCCGGAGTACGATTATAATCACCTGAATTTCTGGCCAATCACGGCCTCAAGTACTGTTTTAAACCGCAGCCAGCAGCCTACAGCATCATTTGTTTGGCGCTTAGCCAGACTGATGCAAGATTAGGGAGCTTAATAAGCCTAATGCCTACTGCCTAGGCACTAGGCAGCACTCATGCGCCCGCCGCGTTCGGGAGAGACGGACGAATCCGCCTCCGCCTCCGCCTCCGGCGCACAGAAGCCTGCGTCGCCTACTCTATCTATATATACCGGCCGCTTCGCCGGAGAGCTCCATCCAGCCAGCCAAGCCAAGCCAAGCGGGTCCGATCGGAGGAGCAGAGGAAGAAGCAAAGCACGCGCACCGCAGGTCTGCAGCCACGATGGCCCGCCGCAAGGTCCCCATGAGGCTCATCGAGAAGGCGCGGGCGCGCGCCGAGACGCACGCCAGGAGGACCAAGGGGCTGCAGAAGAAGGCGTCGGAGCTCGCCACGCTCTGCGCGGTCCCGGTCGCGCTCGTCTGCTCCGCCGGCAAGGGTGCTCCGCCGCTCGTGTGGGAGTCGGAGGAGGGAGTGCTCGAGAGGTACCGGCGCGCCGTCCCGGCCGAGACCCGCGCGCGGCACACGCACCGGAGCTACATGGAGACGGAGCTGGGCAAGGAGAGGGCCAAGCTCGCCCGGGTGCGGCACGGCTGCCCCGGCGCGCTCGCGGACTGGGACGCCGCGCTCAACGACATGACGCTGGAGGAGGCGCGGGGGCTGCTCGAGACCATCGACGCGGCGCTGCGGGCCACGGGAGACAGGATGGAGGCGCTGGGCATACCTGCCGACGGCGGCCACGACCGGCTCGAGGGTTCTTCCCACGACGCCCTCATGCCGCAGCAGCGCGGGTACGGTGTCGGCAACCCCGTGGACATGGACGCCGCCGGCTTCCAGCAGCTGCAGATGGTGCCGTTCCACGCTGGGAACAACGACGGCCTACTCGAGCAATTCTCATTGGACGATCCCTTCGAGACGCAGCCAGGGTGCCGCGGCTTCCAATGCGTCGGCGGCAACTACTCGGGCGGCGGCGACGCGATGCTCTCGCCAGGCCTTGCCAATGCCGACTACAACTACTCGGGTGGCGGCGACGAGATGCTCACGCTAGGCCTCGCCAATGCTGACTACAACTACTCAGCCAGCGGCGACAAGATGCTCGCGCCGGGATTCGCCAATGCTGACTACAACTACTCGGCCGGCGGCGACAAGATGCTCGCGCGGGGCATCGCCAATGCTGACTACAACTACTCGGCTGGCGGCGACGAGAAGCTCGCACTAGGCCTTGCCAATGCTGACTACAACTACTCGGGCGGCAACGACAAGATGCTCGCGCAGGGCTTCGCCAATGCTGACTACAACTACTCGGGCAGCGGCGACGAGATGCTCGCGCCTGGCTTTGGCAATGCTGACTACGACTGGACTGATCTGACCATGTGGGCCACCGACGAGTTGTGCGATGCAATCATGCCACTTGGGTGCTACCCTGACTTCGCGGACAGTACTCTGCCGGCCGAGTACTCCGCTCAGGTCATCACCGGCGGGGACTACGTGAACACACCACCATCTGGCGGGTATGGGTACCCCATGGACATGGGCGTGGGCGACAACTTCAGTAATCTCGACAGCAACTACATGGCGCACTGGCAGTTCCAGCGCTTCGACACAAGCAGTCTGTTGTTAGGGGAAATGCAGTCATAATTTTGGAGCTAGAATATTCTCACGCATTTGAAGTTAGAGTTTTGCAGATTTATATAATTTACCTGTATTATGTCCATCATTTGTACGGAAATTTTGAAACATTAACCATCAGTTATTATGGAATTCTCACGAAAAGAGTATGAGTTCTTCTTCACAATGTTTTCTTTTTGGATAATTATGGCACACATTTGACTATGTGTTAAATATCCAGTTTTTCTTTGGCAAAAGTTCCCAGCATATGCACCTTTGTTTTCTGCATTGTTTGTATTATCTTTGAAACTAATAAATTCTAATATGCAAGTCGGTTGTGCTTCTTTGTTACGGTAATTGGGGAGAATTAGTTCAAGTCCTACAACAAATCCAAGATCATCTCCGGCCTGCATTATGCCACAACTTTTGATTATCTTTGGCCAGTAATTTGTTTTTCCAAATTATATGTCTGTCATGAATCATTATCTTATGTTGATACTAGACTTTTGGTTGTGAGAGAATAAGTCAAACTACTTTGAAGAAGTTTATATTATCATGGTCTTGATTGGAGTAATATTTTTAGTGCTTTCTTATGTCATGTTGTGCATTATCTAGTTGGAATAATCGCCATAGATTTATAATTTTTACTGTCTCATTTAGCTCAAAACTAGCTCGAGATCGACTCGATATCGCAAGTTGAGCACGAGCCATGTTCTACAGCTCGAGCTTCACTCAGTTTGAGCTCGCTCGGATTTTAATATGAGTTGATCTAAGCCAAGTCCAACTCGCTCGAACTCGACTCGTTTGCAGCCCTAGTCTCAAGTAGTTGGGTTATAGGCCAGTTTGGGCTTATCCTTTTTGTTCTGCGGTGAAAGTTTGGGCTTGGGCTTGCCAACTGTATAGTCCATCGGCCCCTAAAAGAGTAGAACAGCGAAAAAGACACTGGATATGTCAGTAACTTTGCACGACAAAGCGTGCTCCCCGAGGGCATGGAATGTACCATTTTCTGGACAGAATCTTTACAGTAATGTCTATGCTGGATTCTCCAGTCGAAATAGAAAACTCCATCAAATTCTTTATGGAAATGGAGTTTTGCGAATTCTCCCTGGAACTGGAAGATCATTTCGAGATCTTCGAGCATATTTGAGGGTTCAATGTGACTATTGTCACTTCGGCCAATACAAAAGATGAGACTTTACTACTGTGGAGCGGCCCATTCTTTCCCACTAAAGAAAATAAACTAGAGGTTCCCTTTTAAAAATAAAGAGGTTCCCTTTTAAAGCAACAATTTTCTTTCCAAACTAAAGAAAATAAACTAAAGGTTCCCCACCAATCCCCTAAAAAACCCTAGTACCAAACAAGGCCTAAAGTATGATTCAGAGAACATCACACGCTGGCACACATCCAGATATGAGGGAAACGCATGTTAGAAAAATCACAGCGCAACAAAAACAGATTAAAACGATGCATTTCTATGGCATTGCCAGGTGACAGGTTTACTGAAGCAGCAACACCCCCGACACTTAGTTTGCAACTTCTTACCAGAAAACAAAAGACATGAAAACAAACACATAATGGAATACTTTCTTGTTGCAAACTAACATGAAAACAAAAGACAGTACATTGACTGAATCACAGGAGTGCAGACATTATTAAAACATACTGTATAAGGCAACAGGGTTGTAACTGAGTGAAAATAAAATAGAACTGATTATCATGACAATACACCTTCAGCATTCTACATCCAAAATGCCACAGGATCTTGAACGAGTAACGACTTGGTGGTTGCTTTGGGCACTTTGTAGTACTGCGAGTGACAGGTATCGCCAGTCGTCAGTTCTTTACGCTGATCGTCCAGGCTGAGAGAGAATGTTGTCAGACGATACATCCAGGAACCAGGTAGGCTCAAACCAGGAACCCTCACCTCCTTGTTGACACACTGCACGAGACAGAATTTGCTCACGCCTCCCATATAGACAAGGGTAGCACCTACATGCTTATCCATTGGGTCACCAGAAATGAACAGATTCTCCTTGCAGAGATTCATCGAAGGGACAGGGCACCGCCCTTCAGGGGTACCATAGATGGGCACGTCGCAGCAGTAAATTTGGCCGAGGGTGTCCGGTTCTTTGGAGAGCCCGACAAAGGCCTTGAGGTGCTGGTCAAAGTGACCCTGGCCGTCAAAGGGCAGAACCCAATTGCCAAGTAGTTTCCATGAATGCCTCTCCGTGTCAAAGCTATAGGTGGCCTCGGTGGTGTCCTCCTTGGTGCTGATGAGGAAGGTCCGTTCTTCAGGGTGCAAGGAGTAGGAAGTGACGTCCCAAACATTAAATGGCTGCTGCTCGAGCTCTTTCCACGACCACTCTTTGCTGGAATCTCGATGCGATACCTTGGCTGAGAGCTCCTCCAAGCAGAGCATCTCGAAGGACTCCAAGCAGAGCATCTCGAAGGAGTATGAGCTCATAGTGAATAGCTTGCCGACCGGGAGGTGGTAGATGGGATAAAAAAGATCTCTCTGCCCAGGGCCAGTGGTGACGCACCGCGAGCGGACGTCCAACATGGGGAAGTAACCTTCCAACAAGTCACCCGCGGGATCTCTCGGATGCATGGCCAAGATCCTGGTGCCAAAGGCTGATATGAAGTACTTAGGAGATTCACGAGGCGCCACCATGCGGAAGAAAGGCGGAGGAAAATGTGGCACCTTGTTTTGGTCGTCTTGGTCTGAGAAAGCAGTCCGCTGATGGTTCTCGCCGGGCAACAAGTTTACCTTGCGGATGCTATATCCATGGCACCAGTCATCAAAGACAAGGTAAAGTCGCTCAGGGCCGCCGCCATGCTCACATTCCCGCGGCTGCTTTGGCATCCTGTTCTTCCTAATTGTAAACGGGCGGACAAGGTCCAGATTTTTCCTGAATTACTCGTGTTAATTTTAAAGGCGTTGCCGGCCCTTGATCCCTGTAATTTGAATACGAACCGAATCCATCGTCAAATAGAAATCAATCAAGCCCGATCATCCTACTGCAACTCAACCCGATAAATCGAAGTATCCAGATCTGAATCTGGAGCAGCGTAGAAGAAAAGGAAATCGCAGGTACATACCAACAGATCGAAGATGGTGCAGCGGCAAAACATCACGACTCACCAACACAGTGGGCTTAACAATTGATTGTGTTGGGAGACTACAGCGGCGGTGTGCGGTTGGGCGGCGGCGGCGGGCGGGGGAGGCTCGGAAGCGAAGGGTCTGGTGGATTATAAAGGGAGGAAACCCTAGGAAGTTCCCGGTGAGGCGGTGACCGGTTGACCTCGTGGGCTGTTCGCAAGGAAAAACCAACTCATGGGTCGTTGGTCCTCGCCCTCCCTGGGCAGCCCAGCTCTTTTATTTTTCCTTGCTCATCGTAATTTATTGTATGATCAAAAGTTATTTTTCCTCAAAATTTTATTTTTGCTTTGATGCTAATTGAAAATAATTCGTAAATTTTCTAACAAAATACTTAGTAATCATATACTCCTCCCGTCTCAAATTTCTTGTCTTAGATTTGTCTAGATACGGATGTATCTAACACTAAAACATAACTAGGTACATCCATATTTAGACAAATTTAAGACAAGAATTTTGAGACGGAGGGAGGAAATAGCTGATCCCACAAATTTATTTATCACAACCAATAGTAAACATGTCATCTCAACATACAATATGAATAACTTTATCAAAGACAAACATTTTTTGAAACATGAGCTTTTTTAAATGGGAATAAATTTAGAAAACTTGAACAAAATTTGAAAATTATGAGCAAAATTTGAAATTCTGAATATTTTTATGAAAATGTGATTTTTTTGGAAACATTAAGAAAATAATTGAGATTCTGAAAATTATCTGACTTCGAACAATTATTAAAAATTGTGAATATATATATTCCGAACATTTTTTTCAAAAGTACGACTAAATTGTGAGCAATTTTTTATATTCCGAACATTTTCTGAAATGTTGTGGAAAAATTGTATCAAAACATGCCGAAGATTTTTTTTAATAACTGGAATTTTTTTAAAATTGTGAACCATATTTAGAAAAATTAATAATTTTTTAATTTATGAGAAAAATTTGAACTCATGAACAATTTGAAAAAGTTGACCATTTTTAAAATTTCCAAACATTTTTCAAATATGTGAAAACAAATTGAAGAAAGAAAATATAGACTTGAAAAGGAAAAAAGAAACAAAGAAACAAAGAAAAAAGGAAAAAGAAAAATAACAAACGAAAAAATTGAAATAAAAAGGAAAATCGGTTCAAGGAACCTTGTAGAAGGTTCCCAAAACCAGTTGATGTTGTACACGAACTGCGTATGCAAATTGGGCCCATCGCGTAGCCCGGTCACTTCGCCTGTGCGAAACACCGGTAGTTTGATGCAACACGCTTCAAGTAGGGAATTCCTTAAGCGCCAAGTGGAGGATCTGCCTTGCTTCCTGGGAGCACCTAGGTAGCGCCTTCGGCGCAAACTAGGGGTTCCAGCGCCCACCCTGTCGTGCTATTGGGCCGGCCCAAAATGGTGGAGCGATCGAAAGGAAAAAGAGAAAAAATTATGCTCGCGAGGAGAACTGAACCAACGACCTCCCGTATCGTGTCAGACTGTGCTAGCCACTCGGCTACTTAGGGTGTGTTTGACGCGTGTAGCAGTGTAACACCCCGGTAGTTATGCTACAGTAATCACAAACTAATGATGCCATGTCATCATGCCTTTCCATGCCAAATAGCCACTTGTCCAAAATCAAGTTCAAATTCCCTTTTGAAATGCAAGTCAAATAATTACTTTTTCCGATAATTAAATAAATTAGTTCATAATATTGAAAATAATCCCAAAGCAATTATAAAAACAAAACCAAAATTATTTGAATTCCCAAATTGCCTCCGGGAATTATTTAAGTGAACCAACAACACATTAGTTGACGTTTTCAATTTCTAAAATATTTAAACCTTTTCAAATGACCTCAAACTTTTTGTAGCAATACTAAATAATGCCTAGCATTTGTTTTGA